GAGGCAGTTTGACCTCGGTGCGGGAACTCTTCTCTTTCTCCTATTATGACAAATATTTGCCCCTGAATTTCATTAGCATTTTTTTTTTTACGACGAATGACTGGTTTTGAATAGTCAGGTCAGTTAATTTTTTTTGACAAGCTGGTTTCTTGAAACGATGTGAAGGGCCAAGTCTGGCCCGCTGGCCTCAAGGTTGATGCTTGAGCTTGCACTGTATTGTTAACTTAATAAGACCTTCTAGTTGTGCTCTCCGTAATTGTCCTGGTCAGTGTGTTATTACAGTGCAGGTCAGCACTCAGCAGTCAGTCGCCCACGCCTCATTAACCCTCAACACACTCAGCTGGTTTACAGCCGCTAACTGTGCACTGTAAAGCTCGTATTGACGAGGGCGGCCAGCTTTATCACAATTAACTTTGATTTTTTTATTTGACAACGTGCTGACCTGATCGCATTGTGGCTTTTTTTTTTTTCCTTTTCAATTTTACACATCCAATCATCTAAATATGTGACTGATTATTAGATATCGTGTGCCAATTAGAGGATATCAATTCAATGAGCCCAATAACGAGCGCTGAGCTATGTTTATTATGGGCTGTCATCATCCGACAATTGCTGTATGGTTGTTAATTAGAGAGCTGGCATCGCTCATATTTTCTGATAATATCACTGGGACGTGCGCTATGATGCTGTGTTACATAATCATAATTTACAACGTTTACACACAGCCTGGAGGTAATTATTGACATTATTGATTCCACTTCTTGTTTTCAGCTGATCCCTTCAGACTACTGCACACCTGCAAATACTGTATGGAGGAAAAGACACCACTGTGGTGTCGTAAAAGATCTCAAACAGCTGAATATGACGAATCATTTTTGGTATGTGAAAGAATATGTGGAAACCTCACGTAGATTTCACCTCATCTTATGCCCCATCATTTCGATACTGCTTGTTAAACAAGAGCCACACTTTCATTAAAGCGCAAGTCCTTTAAGGGGAAAATACCATTGTTTCCATGAATAACGAAGCTTGCTTTGCCGTGTTGCATCATCTCCTCCATTCTGTGTTATCTATTTCAAAGATAACAAAATATGATGGTATACTAGAGTTGTGCAGTATTCCGATTTTGACACCGTTTCAACGTGTCCTCGTTACACCGGGTTATACGATAATACCGTTTGCTAATTTTAGACTTATTTTGTACGTTTCGCCCTTTGCCGCCAATCTGTCTGAATTCAAAGCACAAATCCGCAATCGATGTTTGTTTACCTTTTAACCAAGTTGGAATGGATTACTAATTGTAATTCTGCTGTGAAACATGAAATAGTTCAAAAAAGAAACAACCAATTTGATCTTAATAGTGACTGGTGAATGAAGTGCACTTTTATAGTTATTTGTCTACACTATAGTTTTATTGTTTTATGTTGTCTTGAGAGGGAAGAAATTTCATCTGTGCCGTACAGCACATTTGACAAAGTTGTACTTGACTTGACTAGAGGTTGTCCAAAAGCACTTTTTTGAAAAGATACCAACGCACTTATGACAACGCAGCATCACCCTTTGATTTAAAATCATTTACCGCCGTAAACTTTCGAATGGCAGAACACAGGGTGTTTTTCCCAACCATTCATCCATTCTTTTCCTGAAGCATTTATCCTTTTGGACTAATTTTAAATCCATTTGCTTGTCGTCAAGCTGCTATGCAGCGCAAAGCAAACGTGAGTATTTTCGTCTCTTCTCCATCATAGAAATGGCATTCGTATACCGCGGCAGCCAGCAGACAAAAATGTAAATAAACTGTCTCAGTGGGCTTCATTGACTGGTTAAGAGTTTAATTTAATCCTCAATCGCAACTCCAAATTAGCTTGCTCTAAGTTGGGCTTCACAGAGCCTTTTCTTTCTCTTTACTCTGAACTCATTTCTAATTTTTGGCCGATTTTGACACAGAATGGTTTGTTACAAACATCAGACATGCAGCTAGGATATAAGCCACGCGCCATGTGTCATTTCAACACGGCAGCCACTCAGAATGAAGGCTCTATCTACCGATATCTATGCTCCATCTATCAATCAGTATGCACTGAAAGCAGCCTGACTGAAGACTATGGATTTTGCTCCCTTTTTCGAAACGATTGTCAGCCATTGTAGCATTATACAATGTCTTGCGAATGTTGTTATGCTGATGGTGTCTGAACTAACAACCGAAAACAAGATGCCAAATTGCAATCGTTGCATTTGCGGGAGGAGGTGAGGGGTCAAAGCGCTGGAGTTGCGAGCTGTGTGACGGCCATCTTGATGCGTTTTCGGAAATCAACTCTGCCGCTCCGAACACATTCAATCTCATCAGAGTCGTGCACAAGCGTCAGAGTGAATAGCCGAACGTGCCCCTTTGTCTCGGTTTTATGGGCTGTCAGGTGACTAATAGAATGTCAATCCCGTTCTAGTTACAAGAAATATTTCTAACCTTCTATTAGTTTTGAGTAATACTGAGTTGAAAACACCACTGCATATTTATGTGCGATCAAAGAATCATATTTAATGTCATAATAGGTCCCCATGGGCTGCAGTTATTTGTGACGCCGTTGCTATTTTTACACTCCGTGAGATACTCTATCACCGAAATACCGCCCACCGCTATTATATACAAGAAATTTCCCATCACCTTTTACATTTATTTAATTTTGGACAAGGCAACGTCAAGAAAAGGCTGCTTTATTTACCTGTACATAGCATGTTTCATTCACAAGGTAACTCAATGTACTTCACATAATTAAAAAGACAACATTAAAACAAATTAATTTAAGACATGTCAAAGCAAAGACAAAACACAAGAGGAAGAATTTACTACGTTTAAAATCGAAATAAAGGAGTAAAAAATAGTTTGCTGAAAGTACTAAAAGAGCATGCAGCGCAAGAACAAGATTTTGGAAAAATTTATCATAGAAATGTTTTAAAAGGCCTTACGCATTGGTATGTGAAAACAAGCACAGTTTTTCCACCTGGATTTGAAAGTACTGTATTTACACTTAACTCTTAACAACCTCTGTTGGCAGCTTATTACATTTACGTGCAGCATAACAGCTAAATGCTGATTCACCATGTTTACTTTGAACTCTGGGCTCCACAAACCAGCCTGAGTTTTCTGACCCATGTCAGCTTGTTTGTGCCCATTTTTCGTCTTAAAATCAAAATTGTGTCATTTTGTACATTGCCGTGAGCCATGTAAAGCCTCTTTCAGAAACTCGGAATATTCCAGGAAATTGCACCCTTGTCCAAAAATATGATGAATAGTTGAATCTGGTACAACATAGAAAAAGAATGTTTTGAATGTTGAATGAAACCCATTCAACCCAAACTGTACGAATCACTCGCGAAATAATAATAAAAAGAAGTTTCAGTGGGTTTCAGCTGGCCCAAAAGTACAAGTTGATATGAACAATACATTATTACATTCAAAGGTCTACATTTCGAAAAAAAAAAAAAATCAAGGCAAAGGAAGATTTGGTTATATTGGCATTAACAATGCTAAATGTTTCACAAAAACAGAAATGAGGTGGACACGAGTGGCCAGCATAAAGCCTCAAAGGTTAAAGCAGGGGAAACAAATGTGAGTACTTCAATGCATCCCAGCACATTGAAGCAGTGCTGAGATAGAATGGCCAAGTGTGTGAACGCATTCAAATAAAGGGATCTAGTCGAACTCCCGAGTGATTCATTATTGATTAGGTGACATGCCTTAATGCTCTTGTCCACGTTGTGTAATGTGATGAGCTCTTTGTGAATCCACAGCACCACTTTTCTTATCATGTGACAATGTGATCATGGAAAGAATTGTGATTTCTACTTGCCCTACATTTTGTTCTTGATTTTCCACCTGTTGCAATACTACAGAGTGTGTGAGACAAAATATATATCGGTGGCATGGAGTTGAAGCCAACACACTATCTGCACAGTATCAGTACTTTGACTGCTTGACTCAAGATTTACATAGATTACTGTGTCATAACTTTGAATGATTGACTCAGCATTCAAATATCGTTGATGCGCTGAAGCATTCGTGACTATCTGTTACCCAGGATCATTCCTTTAAAAGCTTGACTTTCGGCATTCGCGTCATCTATTTGAGAAAAGGCAGCGGTGGGGATTTGTTACTCTCAGCATTTTTATTGTATTTTTGCCTACTGGTGGTCTTATCTTAAGAAATTGTGGACTGACTCTCAGCATTCACATATTTTGTGTCACTTCTTTAACATGCCCACAACCCTCGTGAGGATGAACGGTTCGGAGAATGACCGCACCTTTTTTGTGTCAATGTTTGAATCTCACAGCAGTGGTGCAAATACTTGACATCAGCATTCAGATCATATTTTTGATACCCAGAATTATTATTTGAGTCAGTCAGCATTCGGCACAGTAACAATGGTGCATTTTTTAAAATCTATTTTGAATGGTTGACTCAGCATTCATGTCACATTGTTCGCACAAAATTATCTTGCTCAATGCTTGACTCTTAGTTATTATTACCTATTATCTTCCTTACACAAGTTCCTACTTGACTCTTTGCATTTACTTAACTTAATTCACAAAAAAAAAACGGTGCAAGCAGTCTCGTAATATCCCTCTGTATTATTACTTTGAATTCTTGACTTTGTCATATTCTCCAAGAAAGCATCATCCTGAATGTTTGACTCTTAGTCATCACCTAATAACATACACAACTTGTTCCTTAAACCATTTACATATGTTGATGTGCAAAGGCAATGCTTTGACAGTGTTCGCGTATTTTTCATGCCACGGGGTCATCGGTTAATATGCTTGACTTTCAGCATTCAAACATATTTCCTCCTCCAAAGCGTTTCGTTGCGAATGCTTGACTAGTCAGAGCTTTCACATGTTGGATTCCCACGAGTAATGGTGTGCATGCACGGCCCCACTACAAAACGGGTGTTCTTTGGGCATGAGTGTGGAAGTGTGGTTGGTGGTGAGTGCATAGTGGGAGTGATTAGGCGTTGGAAAGACGGGGGAGAGATGTCCCGGCGCATGCACGCAGCCGCTAGCGCATGAATATCATCTCCACTGTGCCACTTCGGAAGTAGGTCACCCTCCGCACGCCGATTTGTTCGCCGCGTTTCCTGCTTCTCGCTCCGCCGATCGACACGAGAAGCGTACCGAATCTAAACCAGCAGCGACGAAAATCGGATTATTATAGTGCGTGCGTGTGCGCGCTCGCTCGCTTGCGTGTGTGTGTGTGTGTGTGTGTGTGTGTGTGTGTGTGTGTGTGTGTGTGTGTGTGTGTGTGTGTTGCGCGCGCGCGTGTGTGTGTGCGTGCGCGTGCGCAGGGTCTAGTTGGCAATCGCGACGGGACACGGAAGCTAGACGATGAACCGCGGCGGTGATTCCAGGCGGAGATGATCGCATCGGAGCTTCTCTAAAAACACTCGCCCGTGATTCGGAGCTGCGTGCGCGGACTCCTCCGAGCCTCCGTGATGGATTGATCGACGATCTGCCTCTTTTGCGCTCGCCTTTTTCTCCCCCCCCCCCCGCCCCCCATCTCATCTCAGCACTCCTGCCCCGGCATGCTGTCACACTGACCGCGGCCAAGTAAGTAGGCGAGTCTCTTTCCACACACCCATGACAACACATGCTTATCAGCACCTTTGCTTGTAATAATATAAAGCGTTTAGAAGAAAGGATGTGAGTTGTTTGCTTGTTGCATCGACCTACAAGGTGGTGAGGGTGTGTGATGATGATGATGACGATGATGATGATGGGGGTCGTGGCGCTGATGATGATGATGGTGGTTGCATTGAGCACTGTTTCCCAACCTTTATTGAGCCAGTGCACATATTTTACACTTGAAAAACAGTCTTATGGCACACCGGAAAAGAAATATGTTGCAAAAAGTAGATACACGGGTTTATTTTGCACATCATCATCTAGTGGAGAATATTTAACTCCTCTGCCTGTCACGATAAGTCGCTGGCATAGATAGAGAGAGGGGGGAAAAAGATAAACTATTTGATGTAAATGAATTCTTTCCAAACCAGTGATGTGACTTTTGACCATTTTCTGCTGCACACCTGGTGAGTCCAGTGGTTGTTTCCCAACCTTTGGTGAGCGCAGGCACAGATTTTACATTCGAACATTTTCAAGGTACACAGCCAAACAAAAATGTTGCAGAAAAGTATATAAACTGAAATATATTCTTGTTTTACTCTTAGTTGCACTTACTCAATGTGCATTAAGTTGTACACAAAGCTGATATACTGAAAGGAATTGAAGAAAGACTCAATAGATCTGAATAATTTTCCGACAAATTGGGTGATCATTGATATTTTTTTGCAGTGCACGGGAGGATTTGTTACAGTGTAGTGGTTGAGAATTACCTGTGTGGAGAGCATTGGATGGCTCAGGCAAATCTATTATCATAGAAATAATCTATTGTTTTGCATCTTCTTATCTCTTGAAAGCTCTTTATTTTGGCGCCAATGTGGATGGCACAGTAAGAATTTATTGCGCACAGGGAACATGTTTCCCCACCTGTTCATATGACAATAAACACTTTGAATCATGGATGCTGAAAAGTGGACCTAAGCTGCACACCAGCTGTGATGCTCCACAGCTCTGTAGGGGTTTGAACCCCCCCTCCCCCCAACCAAGCTGCCTGCCTCCTCCCCTTGGTGGCGGTCACCCGTGTGGTGTGCTCTCACTTCACTAGTAAATAGAAACATGCATGGCAGGTTCACTTCTAATAAGGGTATCGTTTCGTTCGTGTCCCTCCCTGAGCAGTGGATTTTTATTTTCAGCACTTTTAAATAATCCCAGAGCCCCCACAGGGATACTTCTGACAGGTGTTACAATTTAAACGGCTGATGTTATCCCCTCCCACACACACACACACACACACACACACACACACACACACACACACACACACACACACACACACACACACAGCTCACCCCATACATCCCAAATATAGCTGACATCAATTTTGCCTTCTCAGTTCACTTCTCAACATTTTAAAATGCATGGACATGTAAATAAAATGCCTTTTAAGTGAGGGAATGTGAAATTAACGTAATTGCTTAAAATACACAGCATGGTGGTCAGGCACAGTGTTTAACAAGTTATATGTACATGTACAAGTATATATAAATATAAACACAATGTCAATAAAACATTCTATGCTCTATATTAATAGTTGAATCCAATAAATTGTGTACAGGGGGTCCTTCTATGGTGGGCACATGCCCCAAGTCAGAATGTGCCACAATCTATCACTAACCGCGCACTAACACAGTAGTGAAGTCATAATTACAGGAGGAAAAACACTTCTAGGCCATGAATATAAAGCAATCCAATGTAAAACCGTTACGCCGCTTTGCAAATTTGTTCGTGGCCCACTGTAGACCGGGACCCCTTGTACTCACCATTTGCTGACACGGTGATATAAAGACGAAGTGCTTTTTTTTTTTTTTTTCATTGCTCTGCTGTACATGCCGTTCCTTTTATTATTAGGGTTGACTTACTCTCGCTTAAACCAGTGATCACCAATCTTTATTGAGCCCAGGTACATTTTTTTAAGTTTGAAAAATCGGACAGCACACCACCAAACAAAGAGGAGACATATGTCAATTTCATACTTTTCGCTATCTCATAGATGATCATTTATTTGTTCTTTCTGTAACAATAAGTTGCTGGCATAGATAGATGGACAAAGATACATTATATGAATAAATAATTTTCCCACCAATTAAGTGAAATTTGATAAGTTCCCGCGGCACGCCGTTAGAGCTCTCACGGCACACTAATGTGCCCTGAAACACTGGTTGGGAATAATTGTCTGAAACCATATTGTATGGAGCAGCCAGGAGAGTGTATGATTTTCGGATCGATGGTCATTATCAGATTTTACCACTTTGCCACCAAAAAGCAAATCTCATTTTTGGAGTTAATCCTTTTCTATGAGGTCCTGTGAGATATGCTTAAGTCTAAATGCCATGCATGACCACTCAGAAGTTTTCGACTTTAGGCAGAGAATTTGTGAAGATCGGCCGCCGTTCCACATTGCTCTTAGTTATAAAAATAGAAAAGCGCCATGTTTTGGCAGAGAAAAATCCCACATGGTTTAAGTTGATTTAAATTATTATTATTTTTTAACAGTCGATCTAAAAAGTCAAACGCTCCTTTCAAAATGCCAGGTTGTTGTGATGTATGACAGTGAAATGTGAAGCCTGATGAGAACAAGCTAAATCATGTCAAAACCTTTCACATTCGGTGAAACATTGCTGGACTTGGGCACAGTATACAATAAATTCGTAGGGTGCCTATGAGCAAAGTATCAATCCTGAATTTCTCAGGTTTGCGCACCCCAGTCAACGTGACATGTCTCCCTTGCCTGCCTGTCTCTGGAATCTTTGTGCGTGTCCGTAACGGGGGTGTGACTGTCAGATTCCAGGAATAGCATTTAGACTGATTAACCCCAAATAAGGTGGAATTCTGTCATTTTCCTGACATTTACTCGCCCACAGCCCTCCATAAACACAGCCACAAAAAAGCCACGAAAGCGACCTAATAGATCAAATTAGGAACGTCGTCAGTAAGTAGATAGAATGTGTCACAACAGTAATTGGACATCCCTGCAAAATGTATGAAAGGTCGAGAAGAAAACAGGTCAGGGAGGACGCCAAAAGGAGGCCTCCAGCAACATTAAAGGAATTGTAGGAATTTATGGTTAAGTGCGGCATGCATTTCTTGTATGTGCCATGTTTCTTATTTTGGGGTATGATCGTGATCATGGCATACCATAAATAAGCCTGTTGAAATTTTGCGCAAACATAACCATGCTTGCCAAATTTACTAGACCCCCTGTCATTAAAAATGAGAAGAGACCAACCGGTACTGTGGAGTGCTTTGATGCAGACTCTTTTGATTTCGGTGAGGTCGCCGCATTTTATCGTTTTGAACAGGAGGAATTTCGAGGCGCATTCACGATTTATGGCCATATTTGAGCCGGCTCACTGGGCTTCTCTATGAAGTCACAACTATATTGAGCAGAGCATGTTTCTGTTCACGAATGCAATTAACTATAATTTGACATCTTAATCAAGAAATAATAAAGTGCTTTACTTTTTTTTTTTGTTACACGTTTTTTTAAAGAAAATTTAACATGCCCCAAGATGGCTTTAAATTTAATGGAAAAGTAGTCCATTGATGTCAAGGAACATTGTTAAAGTTACAGTAAATCTCAACCGAGAGATTAACTCTGTACATCAGGGAGGCATTGGGGTTGTTATAGCAGTTATGGAGAGTCTTATGTGCAGGTACACCCACACGTGGGGTTCATTTTCTCAAAATCATAACTTATTTTTAAGGGTAATGTTGTAGAATGCATTTGAAATGTTTTTGTGTCTTCCAATCAAAGTTTGGTGGTATAATTAGGGCTCTATTTTAATAGACATGCAGGTGTGCTCTGGCAGAAAAACTTGCACATCTTGATTTTCGTTCCGATGCAAACCTTGTTTGGGAATTTGGCAGATGGCGCTGTGCAATGCTGGGTGTTCCAGTGGACCGAGGCCATTTCTTTTACATGCCTTCGGTTCACATGACAATTTGGTGGCTGAAAGTAAATTAAATGTTACGCCTGCTGGAAGTGGACCTAAGTTGTGATGTGGTGTGATGAGGATTTTGGTGAATTTGATCAACGTGCGGGCCGACAGATTCTGTACCACAATGGTATGTGGGGTGGATGCCATCATATTTCTTTCATAAATATAACAGCACGCTCGGAACCCTCTGAATCATTGTTGATATGTTAATTGAACACATTATTATTGTTATTATTATTGGTATTATCATCAACTTTTTATTGTATTTTTAAAATCAACCCCGAGGCAAAGCACAGCTAGTGTGTGTGTGTGTGTGTGTGTGGTGGGGGGCACATACGAAGTATCGGGGTGGGAGGCGGTCTCCAAGTGCCTACTTGACAGTGGTGGTCTGTGGTCGCCCTGGCCAACTTTCTATCATCCGCAAGTGGAGATCTTTCCAATTGTAATTTACGTGTGTTGATCTCCTGTGTGGATTCCACTGAGTCAGATCTGGTGCCGTCATGTGAAACCTGCACCTCTCCTCTGCTGAACTTAAAGGGAATGAAAAGAGCTGCTTCCATTGGCCAAGAAGCAAAGTCGGCTGAGTTCACGCCCACACCGGCACAAACACACGTCTCTAACAGCGCACATCTGCGCAAATACCAAAAGAAAGAAAACCTCACTCAGGCGCATAGTTAGAATGAAATTTGCGCAAAGCATATGCTGGCTAGAAAAATAGGTCTCTTCAGGTTTAAAACGAAAACTGAGCAGAGAAAAAAAACTTGTCACTTAAATGTACGAAAACCGTGATTGATTGTCACCAAAATGTATGCGCACATGTTACATGCATGCCCACTTCATATTCCAAAAATATTAGAACAATTGCACCATTATTTTGGATTTTGTAGACGTTACTAAACCGTTGCCTTGTCTGGTTAAGCCATTGCAACGGCTATAAAATCCAAAATTTTGGGAGTGTGTGTGTGTGTGTGTGTGTGTGTGTGTGTGTGTGTGTGTGTGTGGGTGTGAGTGAGTGTG